CTGCCAGCCCAGATAAGGACTGTGTCTCCCTCACTCTCCGTCCTCCTTTTTCTTTTCAGGTTCCTTTTTCTTCTTGGCACTTATTTACCATTTGCATTTGTAGTAGCTTTTTTTTTTTTTTTTTTGCAGTTTTTGGCTGGGGCTGAGTTTGAAGCCGCCACCTCCAGCATATGAGGCTTGCACCCTACTCCTTTGAACGACAGGTGCTGCCCAGCATATCTAGTTTTAAAATGTTCCATAGGCAATTCTGACATGTAAGCTGAGTGGAAAATCCTATTAGATACTGCATTATCATTAATAAAATGAAAGCAGATTAAAAGAAAAAAATCAATAAAAATTATGAAAATAACCAAACTGCAAAATTCTCCCAGTTATAAAAGTACCTAAGGAAAAAATAATGGATGCTGCCACCCTTTTTTCCTGAGTTGAGAATAATTGTTTGTATTATTTCATAGTGGAAAATGAGTTTTACTTCTCTTTTATCTCTCAGTTCCAATGAGGGAATTTTTAGCAATATATATGATTTTAATCAATCCTTAGAGAAAACTCTCTTAATAGGGACAAAAGTACAAGAAATGAATAGGCAGTAAAATCAGGGTTTTAGGTTTCTGCACTGGTTTCTGAAACATTACCTGAATGCAAAGTTAGAGTGCGTGCCACTTACCTTGTGTCAAATGCCAGCTATTATTAAGAGGGTAGGATGTTTCAAAGAATGATGAGGTAAGTCAAAAGGACACAAGAGGCTGCAAGAAGGTGCCAATCTTGCACAATATACAACAAATGAATTACAGAAAGGAATTATAATCCATTCAATAAAGTAAAAATGTATTAATCCATTTTTACATAATACAGGAAAGGGAAAGCTCTTCCTTACAGTAGAAAGTCAATAAATAAATGTAGGTAAAGTGATGGAATTTAAAAATCACGATCATCTACCATCATAATAACTAATATAGACATGAATCTTTAGTGGATGCTAATATGAATTACATGAAAGTTTGAGGAGTAAATATTGTCTTCCTACAAGGTTCTCAACTAATTATAAAAACCAAAATAGTATCTTTAAAGTGGAAAGGACTTGTAGACACCAGAAAAAAAAAAAAATTGATCAACGTTAACATTGCCAGAAATGGGGCAAACCAGAAGCATAAACCTCTTGATATGATGCAGCAAGAATTCAGTATCACTTCTATGGTGTTCCTGCCACTGCAAAACCTGAATCTAATTATGACAAACCCAAATGGAGAACTTTATGAGAAACATATAAAAACTGCAGATTAAGATGACTTGAGAGATATCACAACTAAATTCAATTTGTGATCTTAGATTTCCATTTTTAATAAAGGGAATTAAGGAAATAATTAGCAAACTTTCATTAAGGTCTGTAAATTACATAGTAATATTGTATTATTGCTAACTTCTTGGTTTTGATAACTATTCATTGGTTATTTGAAAGTTTCCTATTTTTACAAGTCTGTAACTTAGCTCTGAAAAAAGACATACACACACACACACACAGAGGAAGAAAGCAAATATAGTAAAATGTTAATGTAAGATCTAGGCGAAGGGTGACTATAAGTTCTTTGTACTATTCTCATAACTTCCTTTAAGTATGAAATTATGCCAAAATAAAAAACTTAACAGAAATACTGTAAGATACATAATACTCAAAATCAGAAATTTTAACAATTTTATCTATTCATGAGAAAATACCTATATAATAAAATAACGTGAATCCATGTAACTTAAAGATTTCTCAAAACTACTGATTAATCTAAAGAATGATACTGCCAACTTACTTCCAGATAAGAAACTGCTGTACTGCATACTTTATCTTCTTTAATGTCATCCATGCATTTGTAAAGGTCTACCATTGTTAGGTACATCACTCCAGGTTCAGTAGATGATCCTAGCATTGTGTGGGTCTTCCCAGCTCCAGTGGCGCCATAGGCAAGTACTGAGTTTTTTGAAAATGGATTGAACTTTTATTATGACATATTACACTACTATATCCACTGTTTAGTGGGTAGTTCCATCTTAGATATCCTAAACAGTAATAGATCTAAAATAATAGCCTCATTCTAGAAATCTAGGAATTTTAGTACAAATCTATTCTTATTCCTATATTCTTTGTCTGGATTATGGTACCAATGCCCTCCACCCCAACTTCAATACTTGCTACCTTTCTTTTATAGCAATCTTAAAATTTTAATCAGTTAGTAGTCTCCCTATTAGTCTTAATCTTCTTTAATCTCTTGGTTTGTATAGACTCATTTTTATTAAAAATAAGTATGAATTTGTGAAATCTTCTTAGCTGTTCCATAGTTTTACATAAGTTCAAATTCCCCACATTAGAATATCTTAGCACTGTTAAGTCAGAGACAGTGGCAGGTTATCTCTCTAGCCAACTTCTTCCTTGCTGTGATTTAGGTATACCTAGATCTAGATTATTTAATATTCTCAGAATTTACTGTGGCTTTTCTACTTCATTGCTTTTGTCCTAGAGAGTCTTTCTACCTAACCCAGCAGGAAAATTTCTGTTTCTAAATACTTGGCACAAATGTCACTTTTCTATGCCTTCCCTGATTGTTGCAGGGGAAACACCCAATGCTCCACATCCATATCCCTCTTTGCTAGCATGTCAATCACACTGTATTACCAACTATGGGCTCCAAGAAAGCAGAGGCCACGTAAGCTTGGCATTCAGCAAATCATTTGGCATCATAACGCAGGTACTTGACATAAGTTTGATGAATAAATGGATCCTTTTAAAGTTTTTGTTTCACATAAATTACTTGGTTTCCAAAATTTTACCCAGCACAATGTAAAAGGCAGGTCTTTTTTTTGTTTTTATACATTTCTTCAAATGTATAAAAAAAACCCCACTCTCTGAATTATATATGGCAAATAGCCAATACAATATTCATTTAAACCAATAAGCCTTAATACTTTACTGGTTGATAATATTTTTATAAATTAAATATCTCTGCTAAGCTAGATGTCAACAAACTACAAGAATACTTTCTAGTAGAATGAATTAAACTGATGTATATTTTACTTTCTTCTATTTTATGTAAGCTGGTGCATCAGGAAGCCCTTTGACCACTGGAAAAGAATATATAAGTAAAATAAAGGAACCAAGATTTAGTAGTAGTTCGGTAGAATCTTTTCTTTTTTATAGTCAAGAAATTTTTTTAAATATCTAGAGACAATACATAATTTCATAAATGAAGAAAAGACTATCTGCTTAAAAATGGGCATCAGGGAAGTCCTAATCAATAAACCACATTCTACTCTTGTTTTTCTCTTTTTTTTTTTTTTTTTGAGACAGTCTCACTACATCACCGTCGGTAGAGTGCCATGGTGTCATAGCTCACAGTAACCTCAAACTCTTGGGCTTAAGTGATTGTCTTGCCTCAGTCTCCCAAGTAGCTGGGACTACAGGTGTCCGCCACAACGCTCGGCTATTTTTCTTTGGTAATGCTGGGTTCGAACATGCCAGCTCTGGTATATGTAGCTGGTGCCCTAGCTGCTGAGCTATAGGCTCTGAGCCCACGTTCCACTCTTACTTCACCAAGAGGTCACGTATTCTGTGATAAGACTGAGTCAGTCATAGTAAAATATGTCATAGCTATGAAGTACCTTAGGGAAAATGTCATGGATACTGATAATTACAAAAATAGCAATATGCTATTCAGTGTCTTATAAGCATTGAATTAACTGGTCATTTTGGGTATTTCTTTTTTTAATGAAATCAATGCGGTATTTTAGAAAGGTGAACTATTATAAACTCTCCAAAGCAGGAGAGATAGTTCTTGGACTGAAGGTGGGTTAATCAGCCCAAGACACTCAATTAACATGGCAACCCACCATTTTTTTTTTTTTTTT